CCCCCCCCCCCAATAGTTCTTATCAAGCAAATAGAAGAAACGATGGAAAGAGAGGGGGAAAATGAGGCAGAAAGAAAAAAAAAAAGAGTGCTGGGGGTGTCATTGATTAGTAGATCGTAATCAGTCCACCAAATGAGAAAGAGGGATCGATTTAAGCCTCAGATCTGACAAACAGACAGCTGATGGAGGACATCCGGTACATGTTTAGCTGCGGGGGGAGGAAGGACTAAAAGATCACTGAATGTAGATATTTAGACTACATCAGCAGTGCACTGACGGATTCCAATCTGTGTTTTTTCTTCCAAGAAACAGGAACAATAAGCTTCTAAAAACGATGCATAAAAAATTTTAAGTAATAAGTTTAGTACAGATATCACTAATAAGATTAACCACATTTCTCCATCATTTTCCCTTTCCCTAACCCTTTATTTTGTTTTAAAACTTCATTTCCCAAAGCGATCCTGTGACTTCCTGCCTCCCCGGGGGTCACCCTGCAGCTTCAGGTGCTCTGCCTTGTTGTGGCGGAGTTGAGTAGCACTATAGAGGGTGAATCCCCTGATGAAACGTCAATATTTCACCCTAGTGATTTACTGCTGTTTGACTAAACATGGCACAATATTGAGCAAACGGGGAAATGTCAATGTCCTTGTGTGTGCTGTCTTCTGGTGTGAGAAAAAATAAAACACACGGCGGTATAGGTTTCCACTGGGTGTAACGGGGTTTTTATATTAACAAAATATTGTTCGGGCTTTTTTTAATATTATTTTTATAAATAGATATATGTTCAAAAAGCTTAACTATACAATGTAATAATGTGAGAATTGACTTTTGCAATGAAATATAAACTGAAAATCATCCGAATGAAAAGGAGTCGTCATCAGTATTGTTTTTGGGGAATCCAAATATATGCCTCTTAGCTCTGAATAATTAAAAAAACTGAACTATAAATGAATTAGGAATTTTACCAACAAACAAAGTGTCCTGATACTTCTTAAAGCAATAGTTCAGGTATTTTGAAGTGTGTTTCTAGGGAGTTGTTAATAATATTATCTTACCTGCTGTTGATAGCTTTGAATTTGGAGAAACAAAGTTTATTTCGGCTAACAGCTAATCAAAACTGGACCAGAACCAAAGCTAAATACTGTCATCTTAAACATCTATCTAAAAACAAATTCAGTGAGTTATGCAAATAATTTATAATTTTCATTGCATTTCCAACAGTGTTGCTTTTCATGATTATTTGTATTGAATTTTATGTTTTCTTGCAAGCACAAGTAATGGCAGCTGCAGCTAGCTGTAGCACTTCTGGTGCCGCATGGGACACAGCAATATATCATTTTTGCTTGAGTAAGTGTGTAATGTTAAATATGGGGGAATGTAAGGTTAATATAACAGTTTTGACACATAATCTGGACAGCAGGAAATTGTTTTTATCCAATTTGAGGACGTTTGGTGAGCTATCTACAGCAGGTATGATATTAACTGTTGAAAATCTTTTAAAAGATTCAAACTTCAAAAGATCTGAATGAAATTTTTCAGTTAGACAAATAGCTTTCATATTGATCTTTTTTGTTGAACAAGGGATTGTTTGTGTGAGTGTGTTCTAGCAAGGCTCATTTTCTCAAAATATACTACTTTGTGGGGACCCACTGCTCCTTATAGGGCACAAAGCCCCACAGTTCAAGGGGTGAGGGATTAGGTTTAGGACTAAGGTGTGCATTAAGTTTAGGTTAGGGTTAGGCTGTAGAAATGAGTGAAAACTGAGTGGAAGTCAATGAAAAATCCCCGTGAATATATAGCATTGTAAGAAAATTTAGTTTTCATTAACTGAAATGGAGACGAAACCACATAAATGTTGAAGAGATTAAAGTGTGAAGAGAAGAGGACCATACAACACCAGTGACTGGAGTGAATGGAGGATCAGCTGATCGGTCAGTCATGAAACCCACGCTGAATGAAAACCGGAAGTCCCGGCATATACACGTCCTTCAGTGCCTGGTACGCCTACTACTGGCCTACGGCTGAATCGCAGACACTCAGACAAAAAACCTGTACTTATGTTTGATTAACGGTTTTTTATGTGTTGTGATGGTGTTTTAGGCATGTATCTAAACTATTTTAATCAAGACATAACAATAGTCAAACAATGGATTATAAAAGTCAATACTTAAAAAGGAAAACTAAGAAAATGGTGTAGTTCTTTTAAAACCAGTATCTAACATGACTAATAAATTTCTTCAATGTGTTTGTCTAAAAAACGTTAAGTAGATCCTCTGGACGTGTTCTTCTTTGTTAAAAAAACATTGGAGAAGAACATGACAACACACACACACACCTGAAGAGATGGTTTGTAGAGGAAGAAAGGAGCTCAGACAGTGTAGCGGTACAGTAGAAGTACAGATCAGATAAGAGAACGAGTCTCTGCTCAGCGCGCTGAAGAGACAGAGTGGTCGGCGGTGAAGCCTGAAGCTGTCACTGAGAGCTGGGTCGAAAACAGACAGCAGTTCACTCTCTATTCATTTAGTATCATTACAAGCCTCCTAAGAGCCCTAATGGGCCTAATAAAAAGACAGAGGTAATAATGAGACTTGAGGAGCCTATATGAGCGGGAAGAGCAGGAGGTGGGGGCGGGGGGAGTCAGGGGAGCCGCAGAACAAGAAAGCCTGAGAGAGTGGAAGATATGATGGTGGAGTGAGTGTGCAGGGGAGGGAACAGACAAGACAAAAAAAGTGAAGAGTAAAGGAATAGGAACATGATGCTTTGAACCGCGAACTGCTGACTTAAACATGTTTTAACGTCTGCATCGATGTTTGAGGGGTACAAGTTAGCTGTCATCCTTATCAGACGCAAACAAGTCGTTTTATTCTCGTATGGTTGCAAGAGTGGCTAATAAATGATAAGTTGAAGTTGTTTAAACCATTTATCCTATCAAAGTTATTTATCCCTGAAACAGAGCCCCATGTAATCGAGTGTTTCTCCCAGGTTTCCACATCTGGATGTTGAAGGACGTCTACGTTAATGGAGCAATCGGCACTAATGACTCTTATTACCTCATCGTTAAGGCCATTTGCGTGGCGAGCTGTGAGCGTAATGGCGGGCGTGGACTGTTAAACTGTAGAGACCCCTTTTGTCT